GCTACTCCTTGGAGGCAAGGATTCTGGGGCTTCGTCTGACATACTTTGGACATGTTGCCAGGAGGGACGGGTCCTTGGAGAGGGACATCACGCTTGGGAGGGTGGAGGGACAGCGTAGGAGGGGAAGACCCTCTATGAGATGGATTGATTCGTTGACTCGGGTAATCGGGATGGGTATGTTAGAAGCGGTGCGTTTGGCGCAGGATAGAGCAGGGTTTAGGGCTGTTGTGCATACGGTTGCTATGTGTCGGAAACGACTTGAGGGCACATAACAACAACAACCACCACCCCAGGAATCTGCACTCTAACAAGCTTGGTAAATTAGCTTCACAATGAAGCAGGAGGAGCCCTGGTCCAAGTTTCTTCTTATTCTTTCCACCTTTGGTAACTGAGGGCTTTACTAAATGTGGGCTTTCTGGGAAACTGCTCATTTTTGAAAGCCCTGCCTTTCCCACAAATCAGCCTAATTGACTACTGAGCAGCCAGCCCGGGTGTCTGCTGCAAGTGCATGGATGAAGCAAGGCTTCTGTCCTTCCACAGAGGAGAGCACACACCTGCTGGGCTCTGGGCAGCTCCTCCCCAGACAGAGCACTACCTAAATGGCAAATTACTGACCAGCTAAAGCATGCGCATGCGCAAGCACAGCTGCATTTCATTTACTTCAACTTTTCAGCCTTAAATTGATCAAGGCTTCCCTGTCGAAGCCAGAAAGGACCTCATAAGATCACAACTTTCATTTTTCTTCTTGAGTGGAAGTGATTATTCAACAACGTCCACAGACTTCTGATCCTAATTGATTGTGGATCTAGTTGGGGGAAAAAATACAATAGTTCCTTGGGGAGAACACAGTGCTCACAGAGACTGTTCACCCCCTGCGTGGGTCAGGGGCACACGTCAGTTGCTACAAGTGACATGCTATAAGTATAGACGTTGTTTGCGTTTGTATTAACCATTTTGATCTTATTATACTGTTCACTGCAAAAACGCAGCTGCAGAAGGAGGAATTAAAGGTCGGCTTTCTAAAATCAACGTCAAGTTGAAAACGTCTAATGCATATTTTTCCCCATAAATATACTGGTTAGCTACCCCTCCAGTCTCATCACTAAAAAATACTGAATCGATGCAACTATTTCAGATAAGTGCCTTTAGAGAGACAAAAAGAATGCCCAATATGAAGGCTTCTAGTAGAGATTTTTCTTGAGTTGGCTGGAGGGGTATTGATGTAAGGCACAGAATTCAGAGCAGCAAGATTAGCAAGAGGAATTTCACCAGGTGTGTGGTTCTAGGAGTCTCATTCAAAATCGGCATGGTAATACACTACTTCTTGGGATTTAACCAAAAGCTTTCCAACACATGATGACATACAATCTTTATTACCAACTCTGTGCAGTATAATCATCCTTATTTTCCAGTAAGAACCTGAGCTGTAGTTGATTGACAATATGCCTGTAATCACAGCTGAACAACAGGAATGGAATATCAAACATTTTGTTGAGCTTTTCTTTGTGCCAGGCAATTACTCTGCTAAGCATCTCACAAGAAGACTTCTACAGTCCTTGTGACAAACCTTTCTCAATGAAAATTGGAAGTCAGAGATGTTCAATAACTTGCCAAGATCACAAAACTAATGAGGTCAGGAATGTATGGCTCAGATCACGTTTTCCCTTGCAATAAAGTCTAAAAGATAGGCAGTAACAGTAGTAGAGATTTGAAACTCAGGATTTGTAACCCCACAGGTACTTCTTACATGAAGTCCTCCCTGGCCACCACTGTCTCTCATTTCATATGAGTGAGACCTTTCTGCCAAACCAGTGGCTTTTTGTACTTTTTCAGATAAACCCTCTGGTGTCAAGGTAGGGCCCATCTCATAGAGGCCATCCCTCAAGTTTCCAAAGCTGCAAATCTTCATGAGAGCAGACAGTGCCCATCTTATTTCCTGCAGAGTAGCTGCAGGGTGTGAATTGCTGACCTCTTTCAGTCAGCAGAGTACAGGATGTAACCAGGCCACCGGAGCAGCTCCTGTCACTGTACTTGTTAATTCCACACAACTTTGGGTCCCAGAAAGTCTGTGACAACACCTTTTACATCCTTGTTTCTTTAAACTGTGTCTGAGAATTACAAAGTATTCATTTCGTTGAGACAATTAGAGAAGTTACACTACCTTGTTCTCACCAGCACAAATGGTTCTATAAAAATCTAGGACAAAGTCAGAGAAAGTAAGGCTAGGATCAAGCCTCTTATGCAGTGTAGCCATGTTATGATAATGAAGGGCTCTTTGACTATGTGCAAGCTTTTAAAAGCTGTATCAAAGAAAGCTTTAGGTGCACGATTGTACATGTTCTTCTTGTACATAACGTGTCATGTGAGCCTGACATTTATGTTTTCTCTGTTTTCAGTCCTACACAGAGGAAGAGAACAGTTAAAATACCCGTCTGCAGTATCATTTAACCTACTAGAAAGCTGGTACTCATTATTAACATTTTAATGACTCAGGCAGCATTGGGATCAGGATTGGAGATGTGAAATAGGATGGGAGGCGGGAGCCTGGACTCACCAGGGCTGTAAAATGTGAAGATGCCAGTGCTCTGATCTCCTTTACAGGGTCATATACAGGTTCCCCCCACCATTCCAAAAAGCTGAGTATTCCTATGAAACTTTCCATGAGCCAAAAGTGCATAGGGCCAGAAAACAATGGCCATTAATTAACATGGAATATTTGTGAGCTATCCCAGACCCCAAATGTTGCCCACTAAACCATACATATAGACTCTAAAATAACACTGACATGCAACTTTTACAGTCACAGTTCAAAACTGTGGCATCTGGATGCTGAGGGCCTTAGTATAGCTCTTGGAGCAGGGTGCGTGGAGGGCTTGGGGACACCACACTCACTGCTTGGGGTACCTGCTGCCTCTTTAATAGCTCTCTCAGAAAAGGTTTTTCACCTCCCCCCTCCAATTAAAACAGAAATTCTCTTTTGGTTTATTTTGATTAGCTTTTAGCAAAAACAGGTACTGATATGGGCCCTTCATAAAAGTGGGTGGTGTAACGTGAACTTTGGGAGCATGAGGGCCATGTGTACATGTTTGTGTGACTACGTTCTCTCTCCCCCTTCTCCCTGCTTTCTACAGAGTCTGCATTTTTGTCTCTATCACCAACCCCACGGAGCTCCTGCTACAGCATAAAATGAGTCAGCAGAGCTTCCTAGTATAGCTCAGGGGTTGCTCTAAACCATAGAGCTCCCCCTCTTATCAGCTCTGTGTAAGGGTGGGCTAGGCTCCAAGGCCGAGTTCTCCTTCAAGTTCAAGCAGGCCTCCATCACTCAAAGCTAATGGCCACTCTTTATTCAACAGTAAAACACAAGTCAAATCTTTCTTCAACACCATCAGAACACAAAAGTCTGCTTAACAAAATGATCCACTCATAATTAGAGGAAATCAATAGTTTCAAAAAAGAAAGGAAACTTGGCATGCTCTTCATATTATGCTAATGGACTCAAACATTGATAAAATGTTTGGAATTTAGCTTTCTGCTTTTACTTTGACAAATATGAGCAGGAGAAATAACTATATCAATAGTTCATTAGGAAAGGAGGACCCAGGTCTGCATCAACAAATCCTAATTTTTTTTACCAACATCACTTCACTTGTTCAGAGTAAAATATCAAGTAGGTCTTTCATAGATTGTTCTAAAATTCCGTTAATTAAAGTCTTCTATAAAGCCATAACTCCCATTGTTTGATTTTACCCTTTGCTCAGACTCTGAAAAGAAATAGATCACAAGACAGCAGTGAACTGTGACGTTCTACCATACAGAGCCCTTTGCAATGCACGTAACTGTCTCAGAAGTCATTCAACCAAACCTCACACTTCTATTCATCCTTGGGCCTTTCTCATTCTTATTCAATAAATTCAATTTTTTCATTGCAATTTCTAGATTCTTTAAAAAATTTTTTTAGCCAAACCAGAAAATGAAATTGTTTGCCAAGACTGAGTTACTGAATGTTCTGGAGATTGGAATTTGGCTGATGGGTAGTTTAGATATCTTTAAAAAGTCAACACAAAACAACAACTAGGCTTAAAGTGGGCTTTATGGAGGTGCTGTGGTGAACCAGACCATGGCCAAGCACAGAAGTTCCCGGACACGGAGGTGTCACAGTTAACTTCACCCACAGAGCTCAAGCAGGCGCCAAATTATTCCCAAGAAAGAGGAGATGCATGTGAGATTCTGAGCAGCCTGCCAGCCACATCTGTTACTGTGAACAAAGTGAATCCAACACCAGGCCTTTGCTTTCTGAGAAAAGTCTCGGTTTCTCTGAGGTCATTTCCCCTCAGTGTCAGCTGAAATGAAAATCTACTAAACAGACAGAGTCCCACTGACCTTTACAGAAACTACGTGCAGAAAGGAGGATGCTAGCCTCCAGACAGCACAGTAAATAAGCAGGAAGAGTGTCATGCAGATGGATTTAAAAGCTGGACCACTGATTGAAAATGTCACAAGAACCATCCCCTACCTGTCTTGATATTGATGGCAAAAAAATTCTGAGGATTCCCACTCGTAATCCTGTATGTCAACTTCTCATTGGCACTGGAGTCAGGATCTTCAGCCTGGATCTGAATGACAGAAACATCCTTCGGCGAGTTCTCCATGACGACGGGATAATAAATAGGTTCCGAGGTCAGCGGGGCATTGTCGTTCACATCTTCGATTTCAATGTAGACCTCGATCGTGGAGTAGAGTGGAACAACACCGCGGTCCGTGGCATACACCGTCAGCCAGTATGACCCCATTGTCTCTCTGTCGAGGATGTCCGCAGTAGTGATGACCCCTGTGAGGAAAAAGAGCATGACCGCTTAGCAAAAGTATGGGTGTTATGAAAACAGCATTCAGAAGGGCTATGCAAAGCAAAAGCAGCCTTCCTGGTAATGCCTTGAAGCACTCCTTTGCTAATCCAAAGGTGAGGAGTTCAAACCCTACAAGCCACTTAACCGGACAAAGATTCAGCTGTCTGCTTCAGTCTGGATTTAGAGCCCTCAGGAACCCAATGGGGCAGTTTGGACGCAACTTGACAGCAACTGGTGCTAAAGGATTCTGGGCATTGAGAACCAACAGAAGCCCTAATACAAAATTCAGTGAGGATGTCACACTTTACATAACAAAATTATTTTCCGCCAGACTTTATTAAATCATTCACTAGATATGAAAGGAGCTCTGGTGGCTTTGTGGTAAAGAATTTTATTGTCAATTCAAGGACCATGGATCAAATCCACCACTTGTTCCATGGGAGGAAGATCAATGTTTCTTCCTGTGTGCCATTTACTCTGAAAACCCATTGGAGGGTCAATCTTGAGTCGGCTCCTACTCGGATTATATTCAACAACATTATCTGTGAAATATGATTATGTGAAGAAATTATTTTGAATGTAGGGAGTAACATGCTCAATACATGCTAAAAACAACAACAACAACAACAACAAAACCCCAAACAAATCCAACAATATGGAGCAGCAAAAGGAGACTGAGCTAGAGGTCAAAACCTGCTCAAGATGCATGAAAATTCAGTGCAACAAAGGCCACTCTCTGAGTTTGACTTAACAGTGTATCCATGTCACAAAGCTCTTCCCAGATGAATAATTATATGTAACAGTTTTGTAAATGTTCTTTTGCCTCTTGTGATGAAATGTTTTTCTTGCAAAGATATATGCTTCCTTCATGATGTTTCCCTGTAAATTCAATCACACAGTTATTTCCCAGCAGTCAGAGAAGAAGCCATGCCAACACACTTTCTCAACTGGTTCCATCCCACTCAAGAGCTCTACAGAGACTCTATGCAAACACAGGCCACTTTGAGAGATGCTCATGGACGATAATTTTAAATTAGAAGCAGAATATTGCCCAGCCTGTCTGTCCCATTTCATAGCTGAAACAAGTGCCAATCAAGAAACCCAACCGTAAAAAAAAAAAGAAACCCAACCTTTACCAGCAAAGCCAGAGTGAAAAGCCAGTGTTTTTTTTTTCCTTTCAGACCTCACAGTAGTCACCCACCTACAGAACTGGCCACAGGGATGAGGTTATCACTAGTGCACACTGTGCACTGTGATGGGGAACTTGGAGTACTGAGCTATAAAACTCCTTAAGTGAACAGGATATGGATGGAAACGGTAGATTTCATGCAAATCCTCTATGACCTAAAGACATCCATGGAAGGGGATATGAAGGGGCTCACCAATTCTGCCTTGAGCTCTTTGTACTCTTAAGAAAGCTTAAATTAAATTAAGTACATCCAATTTCACCTATATATCATGCATAAGCAAATTATTAAATATAACAAGTGTGAAAGGTAGAAGGCGCCTGTGTGTGCACGTGTGTGTAAAAGCCCTGGGGACATAGTGTGTAAGGAGTTGTGCTGCCAGCTCTGAGGCACAAATCCAAGAGCTGAGGTATGAATCCAAGAGCTGCTCTGTGGAAAAAAGAGAAGTAATCTCCTCCTATGTGATTTATACTTCCTGAAAGCCTGCTGGAAGATCAGCTATGAGTTAACTTCAACTTGACAACACACAACAACAACATGTATGTAATAACACACACTATATATAATAAAAGTTGTATGTATCATACAGAATATATTATAAATATAATAAATTGACAATGCATTACATATTATATATAGTAATATATATAATATATATTATTATATTTAACATAGAAATATTATTTCCTGTAATACTCAAAGTTACCTCAAGCTGAAATAGCTAAGATATTCAAGGGGAGATAACTCAATATTAAATTTTTGCTTTACACTTTGTCACTGTAAGATATGTTATGATATAGCAAAAAGACAACACTAAATTTTCATACTAGGAATATGTAGACCATAATGGGTTCCCAGAGAAGCATAAATTATTCCTGAGCATCACAGTATATATGCCTGTGTGACACTAGAAGAATAGATTATCAGCTAACCGAGTAAGAAGAAAAGACGGCAAGTAACAAATACAATGTTTTAGACCTAGTTCTGTGTGTTCCCTGACTGAATGAATAGGTGGCTTTCTAACCTGGGTTGAGTGATGACAGAATATCAAGACCACAGAAGAGAAGACTGTCGGGCCCGAGGACCTGGCCAGGGTGAACACTAGACATCAGTGGGTCATGACACTCTATTCAGTGTCATGGGGGTGCCCACGGCCGTGGAAGTCAGGAGCTAACAAACAGACATGGGTTGTACTATCTCAGGGGAACAGGAGCTCTGCTGGACAGATTAAAAACCCACCACTTCAGAAGTGGGGGCTCTGATGGCCTAGTTGTAAGAAGTTGCTCTGCAATCTCAAAGGCTCCATGAGAGAAGGATGGGCAATCTCTTCCCATAGGATTAACTGCCTCTGAAAACCCCCCAGAGGGCCAGCTATGTCTTGACGGTACATAACAACTTCAGAAGAGAGATGCGTGACAGGGAGCAAACAACCGCTGATGAAATGTGACGTTATGTGTGCTCTGGAAACCATGCGTTAAGCGGGGGTGGGATGGGGGGAGCTCTCTGAAGGTCCTAAACATCTGTTGACTTGAGATCTGAAATACATTTTAATACACATTAACATGGTACTCTGACGGACCCTGGAAAAGGAGATAAATGAGAGGGTCTCTGTCCTCAAGGAGCTCAGAGATCTTTAGAACATGAGCACAGCTTCATCCGGTCTGGACTGAGGTCCAGGGAAGGGCAAAGAATCCAGAGCTAGAAAGTGGTGGCGGTGGCAGCAAAGAAAATAGAATTTACTGACTAGCTATAACGTGCTTTGAGACTGCAACATAACTTACCTGGATTGCCAACTTTATTATTCCCTTATCAGTGAGAATGCCCAGTCTCAAACAGAAGTAGGCACTGTGCTCCCACCTGCTGTCAATGGAAGCCTGTGTGTTGATTGGTATCATGCTAAATAGGTTTCAGCAGAGCTTCCTGAGGAAGACTGGCTTAGAATATGACCCCTGCCTGAAGGGTTGTCTAAAAAATCACCCAGCAAAAATGATATGGAGCATAAGTTGTTATCACTGAGCATGGTTTCCACATGCATCAGCCATCAATGCAACAAAGAGATATAAACAACAAATATGAGATATAAACAACAAATCATGCAAAGTCAAAGGGTATCTGAGAGAACCTATGGCTGTCCGCCTTGTCTGCTTTGTTACAGGTCTAAACTCTGTTCTTTATAATCTCGTTGACTCTTGAAAAGGCATTTAATCCAAACAAATGTAGATGTACTACTCTTATCTCAGGTGCTATGGTGATCATTAAATGTGTACAGAATTCAGAACTCATTGTCTTTGAGTCAGAATGGACTCAAAGCTGATCCTTCAAGTTTACAAATGCTGTGAATGTCACCGGAGACTTCCCATTTTACGTTCATGGAGCAGCTGGTGGATTCAAACCATGCGACTTTGGATTAGTAGCACAATTCTCAAACCACTAGAGAGGTTGTCAAAATACTTCCAACAAAATATATACCGAATATATGTTAACATGATTCAGAAAAGCAAATAACGGAAGTTTTCAAAATAGTGACCATGTCCCAAAGCAAAGAGTAGTCTTCTGAGGTGAGAGATTTGAGATGGACTGTCTGTCATGTTAGCTGTTCTTTGTATTCTGCTTTTGTGTGGCATTCCCAAATAGACTTGGCGATTTGTGTATGACATAACTTTCCATGGAAGTAGGCGCCTGTCTAGGGGAAAGCAAAGGAAGGCCTCTAAAGAGAGAATGAACATAATTCAAGAAGCTGCAAAATCAAAGAACCTAAAAGAAAAAGAACATTCAGCCAATCTCGTCTTCTACCTTGCCTGACCATCCACTATGCATTTGTGACTGAACACACACAGGCATACACATACATAGATTCTCAGTCACAGAAATGATCTATGATCCCTGAAGTCACTTAATTTTCTTTTCTTGCGCCTGTCAAAGTGGAAGATGGTATATGACAGGCATTGGATATAAAATGATTTTTGAGAAGTCCTTGGATGAAAGGCATCCACGATCACAAATTAAAATATATGGATGACACTTTATTTTTTTTAACATGTCCTCTAGAAATGACAATTATCTCTCATTAAAACAAAAGATTGTCTATGGTGATATTTACTCATTAACTAAAAAGGAGAATGAACATTGTGGAGCATAGTTTTCAGGCATTAATTACAGGATCTGAAAATTTGAGGACAAAATAAAAAGACTGACTTTGAAATGTGTTAACAAATATTAGGAGATTCAGGCCAGGCTCCATATTAGCACAGGGGATGTTAGGGATGACATGCCATCAGTTTCTGCATCAGTTCTACGTGGTCAGAGCTGAAAATATGTAGCACGAGACCTTCACTATCCAGAAAAACTCACTTCTGAGGTTAAACAGAGATTGTCAAAATCATGTGCCCCTGTGCCCTTATCTGTGTAACAACCACCATCCTTACCTCTATGCCATTATCATTTACGGAGCAGTTGTGTGCTTGACACTGTGATAGGTTCAGTCTGTGCATTTTCAATCTAATATTTTCTAAATTATAAGGGAATTTTTTTTAGTTTTTTTTTTTCTAAATTAAAGTTTAAGCGACATACAACAAACTGTGCATAAGCAAACTATTGCATGCATTTTGCCATCAGGATAACTATCACCACCATCAGGATAAATCATATTTATTTCTATTGTCCCTCACAGTCTCCTCTGCCTATGTATCTGTAAACCATCCCATACTTGCCAATAACCACTCAACATGTAAATAAAAAAGTTAGTTCTTAAACCTCATTTTACTGAAAATCCAGACCAGTTGGTAATTAAAATGCCA